TCAGTCATGTCCACTCCCTGCACAGAGTCCTTGACTTGCATACCACATAGGATGTGGGCATTTGCTCAACATTTTGCAGTAACAATATGTTGGAAAAGGGCCAAGGATATATAGATTTCTGCTCTGATTTATTCAAATTATTTTAGGATTACGATCAACCCCACTGCCCCTGACAAGAGCAAAATGTTGACAAGCACCATTTAAACTACCCGGGGGCACAGAGCATTCATTATCTAGTGTTTGTGTGTAATTATTCTCTTAGCATCGAGAGAGAATCCGTCATCAAGCACTTTCTAAACGTGCAAGTTGTGTGGTATTATGTTGGTTTAATTCTTCATTTAAATTCTATTAATATGCCCAATCTCAGTTTGGCAGGGCAATGATGGGATGGTGGCAGTCACGTCCACTCCCTGCACAGAGTCCTTGACTTGCATACCACATAGGATGTGGGCATTTGCTCAACATTTTGCAGTAACAATATGTTGGAAAAGGGCCAAGGATATATAGCTTTCTGCTCTGATTTATTCAAATTATTTTAAGATTACGATCAACCCCACCGCCCCTGACAAGAGCAAAATGTTGACAAGCACCATTTAAACTACCCGGGGGCACAGAGCATTCATTATCTAGTGTTTGTGTGTAATTATTCTCTTAGCATCGAGAGAGAATCCGTCATCAAGCACTTTCTAAACGTGCAAGTTGTGTGGTATTATGTTGGTTTAATTCTTCATTTAAATTCTATTAATATGCCCAATCTCATTAAGATGCTGCTGTTGACTTTATACACGCACACACACTCACAGATCATCTCCCGGTGTTTTCCACTCATTCAAGGATGGAGCGAGCGCATTATTAGCAATATGTGTTTTGTTCTCTCTCATTAAACTGAGTGAGGATTGGGAAATAAAAAACGCAAACGGCTCTGCTTTTCATCGGGTGGTCTAGAACATTCTTTGATATAATTGCTGACTTCATGCAGGTTGCTTCTTTGTGGAACATTGTACTGCTTTGTGTGACTTTGGTAAACAATATTTTCCTGTGCGCTTTGTGGGTGTTTTGCTCTCTCTCTTGCTCTGTAATCAGACACCTGGTGTGATCGTATGTAATAATAAACAGCCTAGTTCACATAACTACATGCGGGTGCAAGGCTTATACTACTCAGAATAAGCAATGAATGAATTTAAATCCCCATTTAGGGGTTTTTGACTGTTCTCTACATAGTCCTTTCTTCTCTGTGTCTTTGAGAGTGGTGGTTTTATTGTTGGAGAAAAATAATATGCCACTTGATTCCAGTGTGTCGTTTTCTCTTTGCAATTCTGTGTTAAATAGTAGGTACCTTTTGAAGCCTGGATCCCAGACTGCAGTGAGCAACTGAACATAAAGGAAATTTTGGAAAAGCAAACTACTGAACAAGAAGATGGCTGGGCTGCAGGAACGTTGCTGATTAATTTGAGTCAGGAGAGAAAAGAAAAAAGGGCCAAGAGCATAGACGATTATTAATCCTCATAATGGGAGGATCATTTTAATTTCCCAATTCTCTAGACTGTGCGCTCTTTTCTTCCTCCTTGTCTCTGTCTTAATTACTACATTTCTGTGGTCTGTTGCAGTAAGGTGACCTAATTTTTCTTCACTGGCAGAATATCCCCAACTCAAGTGAGGTTTCATACTGTCTCATTTCACATGCAATGACAGCGTCCCACAGTGTAATATATAATCGTGTCATATATTCTGTCCCTTTGCAACACAAACAGGTTTATTACAGACAGATGCAATGGTTATCGTTGGAGGAGGTCGGCATGTTTGTGTGCTTTGTTCAACAGAGTAGGCGGCTCAGCTAAGCCACATTTGCAAAACAATTATAAGCCTTTTGATCTCTGTGTTACACACACACACACACACACACACACATTTTGTTCCTTTTAGATGTCCATGTGTACTTGGTTTTCCTTTCAAGTGTGTCCAATTCATTTTTCACCTTAATGAGGCAGTAATTGATAAATAAGGGCCCTTGTGTGATTGCAGGTGCACATGCTTGCCTTTGGCTTCTTGGGGGGCTTCAGCCAATCGGTTAAGAGGATGAGAGATGGAGCTCATTAAAGGCCAAGGCGCTATGAACAATTATAGCCCAGTGTTGTTGATGAGATCATTACAGCATCCACTTAAAATAATTAACATTGGGCTGAAGGTTATTCTCGGTCAAAGAAAATACCCGCTCATAAAAGACGTTGAGCAAACTCCAATTCATCTTGATGTTCTTTTGAAGTGCAACAAATGCAATGTGGGATTTGTACTGAATCATCACCTCACTGGTTATGGAAAATAATGTCACAGAGCACGTCTCCTTTGGTCAGTTTGAATGCTAAATGTTTTCCATTTGCTCTTCTTCATGACCTCAGCTCCATATTTTAAATAATTATCTAATATTGTTGTTTTGGTGTTTTTCTTAACACAAAAAGTAGCGTTAAGGCACCAGATCGATAAGCAATATCATTAATAGTTGTACAGTAGTATCATTAAGCTTACCACTACCCCCGTCTCTATGTTTATGATGGAGGGTTTCTGTTTACGGACCATGTGGAAGCCTTCCTAGAAAGATTTAAACACATGAACTTGCTCTTATGTAAATTGCCATTTGTGACCAGCATTTGTGCCACTGGCTGCTCAGTACAGGATGCTGAGTGTGGAAGCCTTCCTAGAAAGATTTAAACACATGAAATTGCTCTTATGTAAATTGCCATTTCTGTACTGGCTGCTCAGTACAGGATGCTGAACTCAGAAATTATTTTTGTCGTGCACAATGGTCGCAATGTCAAGTTACCAGACATGTTGTAATAAATTAATTTTGTATCTTGGACCGTGTGAGTGGACGCACAAGGAGTCACACTCAGATCGATCATCTCATCCTGCTGCAAAGAGCACGGTCTGACGGTACAAAGGGAGGCGGTACCAAAAAATGAGTCCAGGCAGCATCGCTCATGTATTGATCCATATGTCCACTTATCTTAGCCGCAATGATGCCTGACATGAGCTTCCATGTTGTGGAGAGACAGGTTATTGGCCGATAGTTGGATGGCACTATCGAGGGATCCTTCATGATCAGGATCGTTCGCCCTTCGGTTAGCCATCCTGGGTGAGTCCCATCCCTCAACAGCTGGTTCATTTGTGCTGCTAGGCGCTCATGGAGTGCAACGTCTAGCAACAAATGGTGGGGCCACGAAGGCCATGTCACACTATGCGAAAAACAAAAAAGACCACATCAGACTTTTCTTGTCGTGGTTCTGAGGCCAGATTGGCAGTCTTTGATTATGTCTCCCCACACCAGGTAATGATGCTTGTTTCAGAGCTCATTACTCTAAAAATGTCGATGACGTTTCTTTCGGGTCCCTATCGGGTTACAATTGTCTTATTCTGACTTCAGCAGTGGTTGACAAGAATTAAAGATAAATGGAATGGAAACTGCGTTCAGCCTTGATATGATGTTTTATTTGTATGACATTTAGTATTTGATTACAAAGTACATGTATGATGTATTGTTAAAATGTTAGGTAAAACATTTCCATTTTTTTCCTGCCTTGGAAGTTCACAGTGAGAGCCCTGTGAATAAATCATGTGGCGTTGAGGCTAAAACGGAAGACAGAAACAGGTTAATTCAAAGGTCACACTGCAATAGAGAAAGATGGGGAAATACACTGCACTTGACTTTCTGTTTCATAGTTTTTTTTTTTCCTTTTTCAGCTTTCTTATCTT